GTTAGAAACATACCAGGGGATTCCAATTCAATCCCATCAAGGTGGCATGTACCAATGCCATCTCACTAGTCCCAGTGATCAATTTCTGTTCACAATTGATCATAATGATAGGACTAAGAACCAAAGGGATCACAGAAACAAGAATAGTGTCTGCAAATACTAGCTGATAGAATAAAAAAGGGAGAGAACGATCCAACATGGGAAGTGAGATACACAGCAGACCCATAGAATGGCAGATGTCCTAAACAGTACTCTGGCCTCAGAATCAGCCCTTAAGGCATGCGGATCTGGATGAAAAGCCCATGAGAGTATTTCAGGCATTGGAAAGCCAAGACACTCTGGGGAAAAAAAAAAAAACCTAAATGAAAGATCTCCGTGAGTGAGATCCCAGTGGAAAGAATGGGTCATCAAAGAAGGAGGGACCTTTCTCTGAAGGGAGGAGAGAACTTCCACTTTGACCATGGCCTTGTCTAAATATGATCAGAGTCAGTGAACTCAGGGGGCTTCCATAGCCTTGGCAGCTCATCACAAGAGCCTAGGGTGATTACTGATGCCATAAACAAGAGTGTCAATTTGTTAAGTCAACAACAGGAGTCACTGTGCACTTACTCCTCATGTAGGATCTCTGTCCTTAGTGTCCTCTACATTGAGATTTAATGCTATAACTAGTACTCAAACAGTATTTTTCACTTGACGTTTCTGTGTGGGAGCAAACTGTTGAAATCTTTACTTAATGGATGCTAAACTGATCTTCTGTATATAAAGAGAATCAAAAATGAATCTTGATGTGAATGGAAGGGGAGAGGGAGTGGGAAAGGGGAGGGTTGTGAGTGGGAGGGACGTTATGGGGGGGAAGCCATTGTAATCCATAAGCTGTACTTTGGAAATTTATATTCATTAAATAAAAGTTAAAAAAATATTTTATGCAATTTTCTCAAATATATATTAGAGAAAGAATAACAAATTCCTTTGGTACAATTCCCACAAGGTTTTGATGTTAAAATATGCCACACTCATTTAAAACTTTCTTTCCTTTTCAATAGACCAAATATTTTTAAATATTGGAATTATTTTTATTTTACAGGCTAGATCAAACTCAATATGTGATTACAGATGTCTCTTCCACAGGTTGATTCTAATTTCTTTGGATATACACTAAATATTGGAATATTTGATCATATGGTAGGTCCATTTCTAAGTTTTAGAGAAACCTGCACACTATTTTGCATAATTGCTGTATTAATTTGCATCCCAACCAACAGTATATGAAATTCCCTTCCTCTGGGAATCTCTATATTTAAATGTAAAAATCTACAGCTATGTTGAATGCCACTCTCACCACATACTATGTTTTGGTATTCTCTGTTTTTGTTTTCAATCATCTCATACATGGTTTTTTTTTTTTTTTTGCTTTGTGTTTTTTTTTTTTTTTTTTTTTTTTTGACAGGCAGAGTGGACAGAGTGGACAGTGTTGAGAGAGAGAGACAGAGAGAAAGGTCTTCCTTTTGCCGTTGGTTCACCCTTCAATGGCCGCCGCGGCCGGTGCGCTGCGGCCGGCGCATGGCGCTGATCTGAAGCCAGGAGCCAGGTGCTTCTCCTGGTCTCCCATTCGGGTGCAGGACCCAAGCACTTGGGCCATCCTCCACTGCACTCCCGGGCCATAGCAGAGAGCTGGCCTGGAAGAGGGGCAACCGGGACAGAATCCAGCGCCCCAACCGGGACTAGAACCCGGTGTGCCGGCGCCGCAAGGCGGAGGATTAGCCTAGTGAGCCACGGCCCCAGCCATCATACATGTTTTAAACTCTTGAGGTAGGCCCCACTACATCCATTTAGTAAATGAAGAAACAGAAGCAGAAATATCAAAGAAGTGACTTGAGTTCTAAATGATATTCCTGGGGCTCCTGCTCCATAACATATCCCCTTACCTACAGTCTCTGTGCAGGTATTTGTTTCTCTCCGAGGAAGTAGTTGAGCCTCTCAGTACACATGAATCTGCTTTTCACTTTTTAATTTTTTTTTAAAATGCAGACTTACAGAGAGGGGGAAAGGCACACAGAAACAGCTCTTTGTGGTTTACTCTGCTGGTTTACTCCCCACATGGCCACATGTGTTGCTGGGACTGGGCTAGGCCAAAGGCAGGAGCCAAGAGCTTCTTCTGGGTCTCCTACATATCTGGTAGTGGTGCAGGCACTAGGGCCATCCTCTGCTGCTTCCCCAAGCACATTAGCCGGGAGTTGGATCGGAGGTGGAACAGCTGGGAATCCAACCGACACCCATACGGGATATGGACATCACAGGCAGAGGCTTAACCTGACACCACAACGCTGGTCCCCTGCTTTTCATTTTGAGTTTTGTTGGTTATGCTCATTTTATGAAAGAAAATTGTATTTTCTTTTACTAAGGTATAACTTTCCTTCCACCTTGATGTAGAGAGTTATCATGTTTTGGCTGCACAACATCGATAACCTTTTTTATAATATCTCAATTTCATTTTGAGGAATTGCTTTCCCTTTTGTGGCATATCCATAATAGATGGTTCCATTACAGTGTTCGGTTCCCATTTCAGAAGCCAAGAGGATCAGACTCTCATTCATCTTGTCCCTTGGAATAGCTAGAAGGTGGCCAACTGACTTAAAAGCAGGTAAGTAGAAGCTTTCATAAAGGAACTTGGAAGCAATCAATGGCAAAAAATGAGGAAATGGTAGATGAAAAGCCATTTTATTAATGGCAGTTGCATTAGTCAGGGTTCTTTTGAGGAACAGAATCCAGGGGCAGAGACATAATGATAACCCACATGATCATGAAGGTATGAGGCCAAGATCTTCAGCGTAGCTGACAGGGTAGCGATACAGAGAAAATATGCAGTCCAAGTCCAAGTCCAAGAGCTGTGTGTTGTCAATGTTCCTCCTTTTCCTGAGGAGGTCAGTCTTTCCTCTGTGGAGGATAACTGGCTTCATCCTAAGTCTACCAATTTTAATGTTGATTTCATCCCAAACATACATCCCTTGAAACATCCAAAATCATGTTTGTTGGGTCAAATATCTGGGCATCGTGGTCCCACCAAGTTGACATAAAATAACCATCATAATGGCCATGCTTTACACCAAGGTTGCTATTTTCTTGGCCTGCTGGAATGAATTCTTATGCTTCCCTCCATTCCCAAGGAGAGTCCTCCCACAGTCCAACTCTGCTGTTCCCAGTCCACAGCATACCCAAGTCCTCTTGGTGAAAGCACACCAAGATTAATACACAGAGTACATTTTTGAAGATTGACAATAAATGAGAAAATTGTGAGGTAGATTTGTTAGGACTGGGTGCAGCTGGAAGTAACAGAAATAAGCCAACTAGGTTGCCTAAACAAGATTGCTGTTTACTTTTCTCACTTAAAAACCGATCTGAGCCTCCTTTTGTGTTTTATTCAGCCATCAGGAATATTTGGCTTCTATCTCTAAGGCTATTTCATTCTGTGAAATGGAAATCAGAGCTGTAGCTATCATGTCTAGTTGCTAGAAGTTTAGAAAATGGTTAAATGTTTAAATGCTTTTAAATTTAAACATTGCTACTCCCAGCTGTGTCGGTCTGTTTCAGAGAGATTTCCTAGAATACACAGCCAGCAACTCCCACCTACACATACATCTTATTAGAAACATCACAAGGAAAAGGAAATTGTGGGATGATTAGCATGACACATGCCATGAAGAAAGGATAATACTAGCATTTCTTATCCACAGTAGAGAAATGAGAAGGCTTCAGCAGTGCTACTACTCCAGTCATGTAAGTTGTTAGAGACACTACAGGGTCTACAGGGTGGGCATTTGGCCCAGAGGCTAAGCAGCTGATTAACATGCCTGTATCCCACATCAAAGACCTGGATGTAATTCTTGACTCTGACTCCAGATTTCAGCTTCCTGCCAATGGGACCGTAGGATACAGCAGTGATTGTTCAAGTGGTAAGACTGACCTGGATTTTGTTCCCCGTTCCTAGCTTCAGCCAGTTTAGCACTGGTAGCTGTGAGTATTTGAGGAGTGAACAAGTGGATGGGTTCTCGTTTTCATTTCCAGTCTCCTCCCCTCCCCTCCCCTCCCCTCCCTTCCCCTCTCCTCCCCTCCCATCTCCTCTCTTCCCTTTCTCTCCTTCCCTCTCCCTCTACCCTCTTTCTCCCTCCTTCTCTCCTCAAACTTAAAAAAAGCTGCTTTAACTCTCCAAAAATTTCATTAGATTATTTAAATATGAATACTGTTAAGTACACAGGAACTTCAAAAGCACATGGAAAAATGGAATTAAATGACAAGTTTATTTGGGTGTGAAATAGTTTAAAATCCATATATAGTTTTTATATAATTTCCATGAAATTTCTGAAGATTCCTCATATTCATGGATTTCTAATTTTTTTGTACCAAAATAAACATGTTTTTCTAACAAAATTTTTGAGAGCCAAAGATACACACACATACACCCCCACACAAATACACCCACAGAGAAATGCACAGAAGAGCTGGCTCTTCTGTTTCACATCCCAGATGCCTGAATGAGCCTGTGGAGCAAAGCCAGGAACTGGGAACTCAGTACAAGTCTCCCACATGGCATGTAGGGACCCAACCACTTGAGCCATTACAGGATCTGTATTAGTAGGAAGCTGGAGTCAGCACCTGGCATAAGGGAAAATGTACCTCGGTTCTTCAATGTGTGATATATGTGACCTAACAGGCAGCACAAGTTCTATGCCAGATGCCTGACAAGCAACTTATCTTTTAATTCAATTTTCCACAAACTTTTTGAAGTACACTTGGGTGGGACAATGGAGGAACATATAGTTAAAATGAATACCAGTATATTGTAAAATTGTAGAGTGAGTAGCTTAAAGGATCCTTTGGGAAATAAATAGCAGGGCAATTTCTAGTGAAACTGAAACCTTTCAAGATATGCTAAAATTAATGGTTGAAACGCTTTTGTGTAACTAACAATTATGAAAAGCATAGCCATTCATTTATTCATTTACCTCAAATTTCTTTTGGTAACATTCTCTCAGAGCTTCCAGTTCCTGCTTATGCTTGCCATCCAGCAGGGGGACATGTCTACGCAGGTAGTCCACGTCCATTTTAATCTTTGCATTGGCTTTTTCTAACTTTATCTTTTGTTTCTCTATATATTGTGCTTCACGAATTTTATCCTCTAGATGCCATTGTAGTTCTATAATATCTTTCACATAGGCCTCATGTTCTAGATTAGAATGATAACAACATAACAAAATCAGATTGTAAAACAAAAATATCCAGAAGAAAAGCTTTGCTAATAAATATAAGATATGTAATATCACAAATTCCTTAATTGTGAAATTTGCTAAATTCAAAGTAGGAGCTATTTTAACAGTGCATTATAAAGTATAATGCTTTTTTCATACCTAATCAAGAAGATTCAAATATAGTTTATAAATTAACACTTGTTCCGTTACAAATCTCATTTACTATGACCATACATAAAATAATCATATATAATTATATAAAAAAAATTTATATAACCACTCTGTATAAATGCTCCAAAGTAAGAGAACTTGGAACAATAGGGAACTTCAAAACCAAACCACCTAGAAATACAATGATGAGGTAAAAACTAGAAACATCAGAAAAGGCAAAAATGACTACTATTGTCTGGTGATATAATTAAAAAGCACAGGAGATTAACTGAAAATTATATATGATAAATGTTAATATAAAGAATAGATTCAAAACAGAATAATCTCAAAATAACAATGAAGCATAAAATAAGCCATGCAAATCCAACAACAATCATAACATAAATTGCTGGGGCTCATAGTAAGAAATCAATAAATGCTATCAAGCAAAACAAAAGTAAAGCTAAATAAATTTGTATTAAATACTCATTGTACCTTTTTGTATTATTATCCTACTTTTAAATATTTTAATTATATTTCCCTTCTTATGTTGCTGTGACGCATTCCATGCACTTCTTTCAAATTTCACATCTAGCTACTATTTTTCTCTTCTGAAATCTATAAATAACTTAATCAAATAGTAAATTGTTGAGTTTAAATTTTTCATTCCCAGTAACTGTTTTTCCTTTCAAATTCAAAAAAAAAAGTCTTAGTCCTTGTTTTATTTTCTTTCTTTATTAAAAGGTGTAAAGCACACATATTTTATAATACCATGTATAATAAATACCTTGATTTTTTTTTGTAAAATTCTGTGGTGTGTTTCTACTGAGTCACACTCACTGAACCTGGATCTTTGTGCATTTTAGGATATTTGATACTATTCCTTTCTTGTAACTTTATCTGAGCTCATTCTCTGGTACTCATGTTGAAGTTTTAATCTTCCAGAAAAAAATTATCTTTTTTCCTGCCAGACACCTGACTTGACCACCAACCCATGGAGCATTTGAATAACATTCTCCACTTAAAAATTTTTAAACATATTTGAGTCACAGATATGTTTGTAGTCAGTACCTTAAGAATGCTTAGCAAATAGTTTTCCTCCATTGACTAAGTGAAACAATCAAGTTTCCTTACTGTTCAATCTGAGCAGCATGTTTGTTAATGATTTACTCTTGCGCTGAGGATGAAGGCCTTTGGATACTCAGCTTCATCATGATCTCCAGTTAGGCCTCCATTTTGGGTTAGCCTTTGGCTTTATTCCTGGTTTCCCATAGCTGACAGATATATCAAGAGAGAGAACTCTCAGGACATCAGAGCTTCAAAGATTTCTTCAAGACTAAATTTCCCAAAATTTTCTTTCCAAACTTAAAATTTGGTTTTCGTATATTTCACACTTGCTGGATAATTTAGCAGGGTATTTTAAATGACTTTTTAAAATCAAAATACATGAAAAAATCTGAAAATTGAAGTAACTTTGATATCATTGGTTTCTTCCCCAATTTAATAGTTGAAATCATAGCTATATATTTCAACACTCTACTCTCAACAACTCAATGAATATGTTGTCAGAATAATTAAAGACTTGAACAGAACTACCAGCCACTTTGACCTGATACTAACAGTTATTCTACCCAACAAAAACAGAATATGTGTTAATTTCCACCACACATATCATTCTCCAAGACTGACAAAATTCTGAGCAATCTAATTGTTAATAATTTCAACATGATAGAAATGATTTTAAGACATTTCCTAGCATAATATTAAATTAGAAACAACAGAAAGAAATTAGTGAAACATTAGAATACCAAATATTTTGGGGAATGTGTGATTTATAAATATATAACAGATCCAAAAGAAATCACAAGGAAATTAAAAATATATTTTCTATGAAAAATAGCAGGTGATGATGAGATCACTATAAAATATATTGAGACAATGGGAAATCCCAGTCGTGAGAAGCAAGATATAATAGAGCAGACTAAGGTTCACCTTCCTCCCCCATGGGATTAAGATATTTTCTTTTCACATAGATTCTTGGTTTTGGACATTTTACCTATTTTGGACAAAGGGTGTGAGAAGAAGGGAAAATAAAACAGCTTCAAACTGACATCCCGAGCAGCACACTGTGTGTCCACCCATCCTTTTATACTCTGGCCATTTGCCATCTGAATATCTTGTGCCTGGGAAGCTGCTGGCCAATGACAAGGAGAGACCTTAACCAAACACATAGCCTTGAACTAACCCACTGATCTGTGGTATACAGAACATCCCTTGACAAGCCGCAAAATCTACGAGTAATACACACACACACACACACACACACACACATATGCACACACAAAATAAACCATTGAGTTAAATTTATTACAAAGCATAGTTGTAGTAAAACTGAGTAATTCACAAGTCCAAACAACACAAAAGAAAAAAAAAGCTAAGAAGTCTCAATATTGTATTAACTACTCAGACATACTTACCCTGTAGAGGTATTCTGATAAACATTTATAAGGAATATAATCTTTATACCTTGTCCTTTCTGAAAGGTCAACAACCCAAACCTCTCAAAGGCTTACTTCTGCCAATCCTACGTTAATATTCTTTCCAACTCCTTGAAAGTCCACACACCCTTTTTGCCACTTCCCATATGTACCTTGGCCCATCTTCTTAGAATGCTTAAAATCCTGCCCATTGGGTTGAATTTGCCTTTGCCCTTCCTATTTGGGGACTGGAATGGATGTCATTCAAATCCATTCATAAACCATGAATATGATTCTTTCCTATTCCATTAAATGGTCATAGAGCCATAAATATAGGTTATGAGAAAGACAGTAAATCTACAGAAGCAGGAGCCATAGAGGTGCCAGGGGAGTCTGAGTCATTAGTTCATTTGTCTGCAGATGCTGCTTGGGTGTGATATATGTACCCTTTTGTATTACAAGGGAATACTTCTATGCAATTCCAATTTTGTAATTTGGGGGATCATATAGTGTGGGGAGCAATCTGGACTAGACTGAGTTACTGGAATTAAGACTTATTCTATGCATCTGCTCTCCCACAATATGGTGCTGGGAGAGAAGAAAACAGCTTCTACGCAGCTGCCTCCAGTTCAACCAATAAACTGTAGGACTTGCTCCTGATTGGAGAGCAGCGTACTCGGCGTGTGGGCAGCCGAGTTGGGATTGGCGGAGGAGGACTATAAAGGAGGAGAGAGACGGCATGCACCAGGAACATCTATGGGGAACATCTAGCTGAAGGAACACCCGTGCAGCCCCCGAGCGAGCCGGCCGGCGGTGTGCCGCTCCCCTGCGGAAGTGGGGAATGCGGCCAGGGGGAACTGCCCTTCCACGGAGGTGGAAGGGATAGTAGCCAACCCGGGAAGAACCAGCAGAAACCCGGGGAGGGCCGAGCAGACGAAAGAACAGCGCAGGGTCCTGTGTTGCTCCTCCACGAAGACGGGGAGCGACAATATAGTACCCAATTCATGATGGAAAACTTATTTCTAGTTATCTTTCTTTATAGGGAAATCCAAACATATTTGCAAAATAATTGGGTGCATATCAGATAGCTAGGGCTGTCATTTTCAGGATGGAGATCTAATCGGCTTACAGAGAACAGGCAGAGAGAAAGGTAGCCAGGGATATAAACACCTTTACGTTATTCTTCTCCATTTTTTTCCCCATAACCTCTTGCCACTAATTCTCATTGGTTGAACTCATTATTATAAAAGATAACTTTTTCTATGATTGATTGATTTGGCAAAGTGACACACAGAGAAGGGGAGAAATAGACACATAGAGATAGGGATCTCCTATCTGTTGGTTCACTCCCCAAATGCCTGCAACAATTAGAACTGGGCCTGGCTGAAACCAGGAGCCTTCATTTCTATTCAAGACTCCCAAGTGAGCAGTAGGAACCCACGTGCTTTGGGCAAAATCCACTGGATTTCCAGGCAATAAGTAATAAGCTGGATTAGAAATGGGGGAGCCAGGATTTGAACCAGCATTCAGATATGGGATACAGGCCTCTCAAGTAGCAGCTTAACCACGGTGCCAAAAGCCATTCTTTAAAACTCATGTTTAACGCAGCCTATTATGAGTCAGCTTCCTGGACCACACAACAAACTACGTAAGTGAAAGATGTAGGAAATGTTGTTAGTAAATGGATCTAGAGGAGCAAGTAGAAGATACCTAGGAAAAACAAAGTGTATTTATTTAATTTTATACACAAAAAATCTAAATATGGTAAACCTCATATTAACTGTTAAGACTGTTAAGATTACTTTTTCCTGACCCATATTCAAGTGTCCCAGTTTGTATGAAATAATAACATTGCTCTAATTGATTATTTTTTTATAGAGAGCCACAATTTGTTATCTGCCCATCACCAAAAGAGTAAAGGGCCATGCAGAAAATCCCTAGCATTACCTTTCTGCACAGCTAGCGGGAGTTCTTGAAGTTTCCAGATGGACCAGGCATCAATTTTCAGGCCAACCTTTTTCCTTCTTATCCTTTGATGTTTTAGAGCTTCCTCAGCTTCAGCCCGGTCACTTTCTAGACTTCTAATGAGATGGATGGCCTCTGAGAGCAGTGTTTCCATTTCTTGCCTTAACTCTGGACACTTTTCATCTTAAAGCAGAAATACATATGTGCATTTGTTAATGAATCAACATATCAGTAAGGAAATATGAAAATGGCTCATCATCTTATTAGTATATTTTTAAATATTTAAGAAGAGAATTATAGAAAAAATCAGTTAGTCTTATTATAATGTAGTCATAACCTTGATTATAACCCTTGAAGACATATTTTTCAATGGCATTTTACAATAAAAATGCTAAATCTCAAACAACATCTTGAGAAGTAGTATAATTTTGTCTAAAGAAAAAAACACATATCCTGTTCACAAGCTGTGTTATAGGATTTTGTTTTTAAATTATGCTTGCACATAAATCTGTAAGAAAAAAATCATAATGACTAAATCACATAAATATTGAATATCCTCAAATAATTCCTAGGAGGAAGACACTTTATTTTTTCTTCAAATGCAAACCTGCACATTTTATTTTTTTCTTCTGAAAACTATTTTGACTTCATCCCATTGGTTTTCTTTTCTTTTTTAATTTATTTTTTAAGGAATACAAATCTCCTAAGTACAACTTTAGGAATATAGTTATTTTTCCCATCATACCTGCTCTTCCACCCATACTCCCACACCTCCTCCTCCTCCCTCTCCCCCTTGCCAGTCCCATTCTCCATTAAGATTCATTTTCAATTAACTTTATACACAGAAGACCAACTCTATACTAATAAAGATTTCCGTAATTTGCACACACACACAGAAACACACATACAACTGTTTGAGAACTAGTTTTACAGTTAACTCTCATAATACAACTCATTGAGGACAGAGGTCCTACATGGGGAGTTAGTGCACAGTGACTCCTGTTGTTAATTTAATAATTAATACTTTTAAGTATGATGTCAGTTACCATCCAAGGCTCTTGACATCAGCTTCCTAGGCTATGGAACCTTTTTGAGTCCACATACTCCATCAGTATTTGGACAAGGCCATAAGCAAAGTGGAAGTTCTTTCCTCCCTTTAGAGAAAAGTACATCCTTCTTTTATGGCCACTTGTTTCTGCTGGGGCCTCACTCACAGAGATCCTTCATGTAGAACATTTTTTGCCATAATATTTTGGCTTTCCATGACTGAAATGCTCTTTTGGGCTTTTCAGCCAGACCAGGAAGCCTTAAGGGCTGATTCAGAGGTCAGAGAGTTACTTAAAATGATTGACAAACTATGAGTCTATTTTGTAGAAAGACATTGGCACAGGCAAAGAGTTCTTGGAAAAGACCCCAGAGGCATAGCCAGTCAAAGGCAAAAATGAATAAATGGGATACATCAAATTGAGAAGTTTTTGTACTGCAAAAGAAACACTCAGGAAAGTGAAGAGGTAATCGGCAGAATGGGAGAAATTATTTGTCAATTATGCAACTGATAAATGATTAATAACCAGAATATACAAAGAGATCAAGAAACTCAACAACAACAAAAGAAACAATCCAGGTAAGAGATGGGAAAAGGCCTTAAACAGAAATTTTTCAAAAGAGGAAATCTAAATGGCCAACAGACACATGAAAAAGTGTTCCGGACCACTAGCTATCAGGGAAATGCAAATCAAAACCACAATGAGGTTTCACCTCACCCCAGTCAGAATGGCTTTCATACAGAAATCAACAAAAAACAAATGCTGGCAAGAATGTGGGGAAAAAGGTATCCTAATCCACTGTTGGTGGGAATGTAAACTGGTAAAGAAACTATGGAAGACAGTATGGAGATACCTCAAAAATCTGAATATAGACCTACCATATGACCCAGCCATCCCACTCCTGGGAATTTACCCAAGGGAAATAAAGTCAGTTAACAAAAGAGTTATCTGTTCCTCCATGTTTATTGCAGTTCAATTCACAATAGCTAAGACACTGATTCAACCTAAATGCCCGTCAACCGAAGACTGGATGTAGAAATTATGGGATACGTACACTATGGAATACTACACAGCGGTAAAGAGAAAATAAAATCCAGTCACTTGCAACAAAATGGATGAATCTGGAAAACATCATATTTAGTGAAATAAGCCAGTCCCCAAGGGACAAATACCATATGTTTTCCCTGATCAGCGAGAACAGAGCATCTAAAACAAAATCTGTAGAAGTGAAATTGACACTTCACGAAGGGGTACTGGAGTTGCCCTTGTCTTGACTGTAGAGGAACAGAGTTACTTTTTTGTTTGTTTGTTTTTCTTTATACAATTTGATGAACTCAGAAAAGAGTTAATCATATATGTATAAAGTCAATTGAAAATAGATCTCAGTAAAAATAAGAGTAGGAATAAGATGGGGAAGAGGAAGTTTGTAACTAGAAAGCTATATAGTTCTGCATACATTGTTATGGAATTACTTCTAAGGGTACCGTTTAAAAACTTGTCATAGAACCACAAATCCCACTCAGCTGGGTGGTAAAAATGCCTTCTTAATTGTTAAAGTGAACATAAAGATAGGATTAGGTGTTAAAGTGATCATATAAATAGGATCAAGTGTCTGGTAATAATAATAAATAGAATTAAAAAGGAGAGAATATTCCAACATGGAGGAAGACACTTTACATTCTTTAATCTTATCAGATAATAACTTTTCTACATAGCCTTGCCAGGAATTCATTGAGCTTTCCAAATCCTATTTATTCAGGTATAACACAAATTACCTTCTTTATTGAGAGACACTTGTGATTGCTGGTTCGTGGCTTTGGGATGACATGGTGTAATGGTAACAAAGGTTCTACCGTGCCTCACCTAATTCTCAAAGAAAGATACGGAATCTCTCCTCATTTTCGAGGTAATATGCTCTACTCTGGAAATAGGAAGGTAAGGAAGACAGATAGAGGTCTTATTCTTGTGGGATTTATACCTACCTATAAACATTGGCTTTTGTCAAAATTTGACATGATAAGAATATGTAGGGGTCAGTTTTGTGGTGCCACCAGGTTAAGCTACCGACTGTGAAGCCAGCATCACAAGTAGGGCACCAGCTCAAGTCCCAGCTATTCCACTTTCATCCAGCTCCCTGCTAATGCACCTGGGAAAGCAGTGGAATATGGCACATGTACTTAGATTCCTGCCACCACCATGGGAGACCTGAATGGAGTTCCTAACATCTGGCTTCTGTGTGGTCCAGTCTCATCCACTGCAGCCATTTGGAGGATTTGGAGATTGAACATGGATGGTATATTTCCCTCTCCTCTCCTCTCCTCTCCTCTCCTCTCCTCTCCTCTCCTCTCTCCTCCCATCCCCTCCCCTCCCCTCTTCTCCTCTCTCTCTCTCCCCCTCCCTCTCTCTCCTTCTCTGCCGTCCCTCCCTCCCTCCGACACAATTGTGTGTATGCGGGTGTAGGTGTGTGCCCCTTTTCTTGTAACTGCTTTTCAAATAAATAAACATTTTTAAAAAAGAATATGTAAATGCAAAATATCGAAAAAGAGGCAGCCACCTTGCATCATGCTTCTGTACATGGAAATCCAGTTTTCCCAGCACCATTTATTGAATAGACTGTCCTTGCTCCAGGAATTGGTTTTAGATCCTTGATCAAATATAAGTTGGCTGTAGATGGTTGGGTTGATTTCTGGTGTTCCTATTCTGTTCCATTGGTCTATCCATCTATTTCTGTACCAGTACCATGCTGGTTTTTTTTTTTTTTTTTGTAATCCTTGGACAGGCAGAGTGGACAGTGAGAGAGAGTGAGAGAGAGAGAGAGAGAGAGAAAGGTCTTCCTTTGCCGTTGGTTCACCCTCCAATGGCTGCTTGGCCAGCACACTGCACTGATCCAAAGGCAGGAGCCAGGTACTTGTCTTGGTCTCCCATGGGGTGCAGGGCCCAAGCACTTGGGCCATCCTCCACTGCACTCCCTGGCCACAGCAGAGAGCTGGCCTGAAAGAGGGGCATCCGGGACAGAATCCGGCGCCCCAACTGGGACTAGAACCCGGTGTGCCAGCGCCGCAAGGCGGAAGATTAGCCTAGTGAGCTGCAGCGCCGGCCTACCATGCTGTTTTCATAACAACTGCCCTGTAGTATGTCCTGAAATCTGGTATTGTGATGCCTCCTGCTTTGTTTTTGTTGTACAAGATTGCTTTAGGTATTCGAGGTCTCCTGTGCCTCCATATGAATTTCAGCAGCATTTTTCCAGATCTGAGAAAAATGTCTTTGGTATCTTGATTGGTATCACATTGAATCTATAAATTGTTTTTGGGAGAATGGACATTTTGATGATATTGATTCTTCCAATCCATGAGCATGGGAGATTTTTCCATTTTTTGGTATCCTCTTCTATTTCTCTCTTTAAGATTTTGTAATTCTCATCTTAGAGATCTTTAATGTCCTTGGTTAAGTTTATTCCAAGGTATTTGATTGTTTTTGTGGCTACTGTGAATGGGATTGATCTTAGAAGTTCTTTCTCAGCCGTGACATTGCCTGTGTATACAAAGGCTGTTGATGTTTGTGCTATAACTAGTACTCAAACAGTATTTTACACTTTATGTTTCTGTGTGAGTGCAAACTGTTGAAATCTCTACTTAATATATACTAAATTGATCTCCTGTATATAAAGAGAATTGAAAATGAATCTTGATGTGAATGGAATGGGAGAGGGAGCGGGAGATGGAAGGGTTGCGGGTAGGAGGGAAGATACGGAAGGGAAAAATCCATTGTAATCCATAAGCTGTACTTTGGAAATTTATATTTATTAAATATAAGTTAAAAAATAAAAGAGGCGGCCACCAAAAAGCTGAAGCTGGGTGCAGGTACTGGGCCTTGAGGATAAGATAAGATGCACGCAGCACACGCATATCCCATACTGGAGTACCTGGATCCAAGTCCTGGCTTCCCTTCTGACTCCAGACCTTTGTTCTAATGACACCCTGGGAGGCAGCAGGTGAAGGCTCAAGTGGCTGGATCCCTGACACCCACATGGGAGACTTAGATTAGGTTCCAGGCTTCTGGTTTCAGTAGGGCCTAGTTTCAACTATAGCAGTTATCTGGGGAGTGAAGCAGTCGATAGAAGCTCTGTCTGTCTCCTCTCTGTTCCTCTCCTCTCTGCATTTACAATAAATTAAATACATATTTTTTTAAGAACTGAGGGCAGGGGCCGGTGTTGTGGCATAGTGGGTAAAGCCACCACCTATAGCACAGGCATCCTTCATGGGCGCCAGTTCAAGCCCTGGCTGCTCCACTTCAATCCAGCTCTCTGCTAAGGCCTAGGAAAGCAGTAGAAGATGACCCAAGTGCTTGGGCCCCTGCACCCAAACGGGAGACTTGGATGAAGCTCCAGGCTCCTGGTTTCAGATCATTCCAGCTCTGGCCATTTGGAAAAGAACTAGGGAATGGAAGACTTCTCTCTCTCTCTCTCTCTCTCTCTCTCTCTGCCATGCCTCTCTGTAACTCTGTCTTTCAAATAAATAAATAAAATCTTAAAAAAAGAACTGAGGGCAAAGGAAAAGTCAAAAAACTACAACAGGAAGAAAGATAAAAGTAACTAATCAATTTCTTTGATTTGCTTTCCTTCCTTCCTCCCTTCCTTTCTCCCTCCCTCCCTTCCTTCCTTCTACCTTTTCTCCTTTTCTTTCTACTTTTATGTAATAAAGATAATAATATGCTACTAGATAGTATTATTATATAATGGTTGCATAATGGCTATTAGTATAAGTTCAACAGTCACACAGTCTACTTCTAATTCACTGGAATTGTCAAGGAAATTCAACACGCTGTCTGAAGAGAATTATTGAGAAATGAATTTCTCTATTCTAATGCATAGAAATGATTTTCTCTAGATTGGCCCTTCATTTGAACTCTTTGAATTTATTGCTTTACTTTGCCAAATTCTATTGCATCCTGGACACTTTCCATTGTTAGTTATCTGTTTTAATGAAAATACACTTATGGAATACTGTGTTTTAGAGTGAAAGCATTACTGTTGTCAAATATATGTATATATATGCACATATATATATATATCCCCCATATATATAGACATCTATCTATATAATTTGACAAATATATACATATATATAAATAGTACCATTATATTTTTTCACTATGCTTGGATAAATTTTCTTTTATACTGTTCTTATAATAGTATTGTCAAAAATGCCTGGTATATAACTTGTGCTGGCTCTAATTCATCATATATAACATCTCTCTAATTATTTTCCAAACATTATCTCAATTAGTTTTACTATTTCATGTTGATTAGGAAACAACCACCCGCAAGTATTTTAACACATCTATTTAATTACAACAAATGTCCCTTGTTCGGCTATCATCTTATGCTTTAGACCCAAATGTACACATGTATAGTAAACATAGTTGTGATTCATTGCACTTTGATTGTGACCATTAATATGCTCGCATCTTAGCATCGTTGATCTGAAAACTTGATAAGTATATACTGAAGTCATCATCTTCATTGTAGACACTAGTAGTAAAAGGAAAACATTAAAAACGGATCTCACTGTTAGTGAAACGTTTCAAAAATACTCTTGCTATTAAAAAAAACCTATTTATCCTTCAGTTACTTTTTTCCTCTGCCATAAATTTTTGTGTCAGCAAGAAGAGGGATAATATAATCCTAGAAATATATTCCTATATTCTATAATATATTCCCATATTCTATAATCCTAGAAATATATTCAAAGAATGAGCACTTGTCCTAGTGGTTTGACTGCCCATGTCCCACATCAGAATGCCTGGGTTTGATTCGGGGCTCCAGCTTGTGACTCCAGATCCTTAGAGACAGCAGAGATCACTCAACCAACTGGACTCCTGGAAGACCTGGATTGCAGTCAAGGTTCCTGGAAGCAACTCAGCCCAGGTCTAGCTCTTGCAGGCATCTGGGAAATGAACCAGCTGATGGGAGATTTTCTATCTATCTGGATGTCTTTTTCAATCTCTCTTTCTCTCTAGCTCTCTAGCTCTCTCAGTGTCTCTCTACCCCTTAAATTAAAAAAAAAAAGAATCCTCAAATATGTTGAAATAATTTTAACATAAATGTTAGATCATGATATAAAATATTGTACATTTTATAAGTTGTGGCTGAGATTATTAATCACAATTTAAATATATAGTCGATCTGTACTGTATAATACAGTAGCCATAAACCTCATGCTACAATTGAATGTAAGTTATTTAAGATGAAACTCCAAAATTCAGTCTTCCGTCTCACTGGCCACATTGCCAACAGCTATCTGTGGCTAGTAGCTACTCTACAGAACAATATAGGTACGGGCATTTTGATTATCACAGGAAGATCTACTGTGACAACTCAGAACTACAGTTTACTTAAATCAACACCTGATATATAATAGTCATTAAGAAATATTTTGATAATAAATGCTTAATCAAGTAGTATAGAAGGTTTTTTCATTATTCTCAGAATTATATAACTCTTTTTTCTCTTTTTTTTCTCTTTTTTTTTTTTTTTTTTTTTTGACAGGCAGAGTGGACAGTGAGAGAGAGAGACAGAGAGAAAGGTCTTCCTTTGCCATTGGTTCACCCTCCAATGGCCGCCGCGGCCGGCACGCCGCGCTGATCCGATGGCAGGAGCCAGGAGCCAGGTGCTTTTCCTGGTCTCCCATGGGGTGCAGGGCCCAAGCACCTGGGCCATCCTCCACTGCACTCCCTGGCCACAGCAGAGAGCTGGCCTGGAAGAGGGGCAACCGGGACAGAATCCGGCGCCCCGACCGGGACTAGAACCCGGTGTGCCGGTGCCGCAAGGTGGAGGATTAGCCTAGTGAGCCGTGGCGCCGGCCAGAATTATATAACTCTTAAACATGTTTTGTGTATTGTGAAAATTAGAAATATATTAAAGTCGACAAGATTTTAAATATAATTACATTTATCTAAGTATGAGGAAAAACTTTACCTCTCTTCTCTTCTGGTTTGAACTTTTCCTCTGGTATGGCAACAGTCCAATCTTTCATGTCTTTCCTGGAAGAAGTTCTGCTCCTACATAAAGGAGCAATCATTCAGTAAAGGAGGCTGTACTTAAAGTTAATAGAACCAATTTTAAATGGTGCACTTATATTGAATTTTAAGTGTTTAATGGTAAAAATTTACTATACATGGTAATCTTCCTATATAGGAGACTAATACAGCAAAATTCTAATAGGTAATGAGATTTACAATTAATGGTAAATAGAAAATTAAAATTTGTTACAAATCAGTCGATTAAAACTGTAATTTTAGAAATGAAATTGATCTTTCCTAGAGAGTGTTACTATAAGAAGAAGGCTATTAAGTAAGAATAATTTGGGTGAACTATATATCTAATAACAGTCAGCAGTTTCCGGGGAATCAATATATATTATAAGTAGTAAAAATAACATTTTAAAGTTAATAAGCTCTTAGGAAAATGCCCAAATTAAAATGCTATTTTGTTCCTAAAGTATCTTTCTAGTTAAAGTTCTAAATGTTGACTGAAGTATTTCTCATTATCAGTATTTCTCAGGTACAATTTAAAAATCTTCAATTAGGCTTCATTGCTCACATTTTTTTTTTTTTTTTGACAGGCAGAGTGGACAGTGAGAGAGAGAGAGACAGAGACAGAGACAGAGAGAGAGAGAAAGGTCTTCCTTTACCGTTGGTTCACCGCACTGATCCGAAGCCAGGAGCCAGGTGCTTCTCCTGGTCTCCCATGGGGTGCAGGGCCCAAGCACTTGGGCCATCCTCCACTGCACTCCCGGGCCACAGCAGAGAGCTGGCCTGGAAGAGGAGCAACCGGGACAGAATCCGGCGCCCCGACCGGGACTAGAACCCGGTGTGCCGGCGCCGCTAGGTGGAGGATTAGCCTAGTGAGCCGCGGCGCCGGCCAGATAAATGAATCTTTAAAAAAATAAATCAATCGCTGGGCCACATGTAACTCTAGGTTTCACATTTTCAGGAACCAACAGTTCTTCACAGTGTCTGAACCATTTTATAGTCACACCTGTAATGGACATGGATTTCACTGTTGAAGAGAGGAGGGAATTTTGTTTTTCCTGTAAGAGTGAAAATGTTCAATCTTCAACACTGAGTTTAATGTGAGCCAACAGGTTTTCATAAATGCCTCTTCCTATATTTAGGAAGGTCCTTTAAAATCTTCATTTTTGCATAAAGATGTTGGCTTGTGTCACATGGTTTTCCCATTAATTGAGATGTTTAATATGGATCTTCTCCCTTGTTTCATTAAAATGGATACTACAGTGATTTTTCTATGTTGAATCTCCCTTATAGTCCAAGGAAAAATCCCACTGTGGCATGACGTATAAGTCTATTAGTGTGCTGCTAGATTTGGGTAACTAGTATTTTGTTGAAGATTTTTGTGTGTATATTTCTAAATATACTGCTCTCCAGTTTTCATTTTTTATCTGATTTTCATATTAGGATGATGTTACCTTTATAAAATGAGTTAGCAAGAATTCTCTTCTTCTTTTTTTTTTTTTTGGATGAGTTTGAAAAGGATTACTATTATTTCTTCTTCTGCCAATATTCAGTAGAATTAACTGGTGAAACTATCAGATCAGATCAGAGGATTTTCTTTGTTGGAAGTTTTTGGTTACTGACTCAATAGTACCTGTTATAGGTCTATTCAGAGTTTCTTCTTCTTCCCAAGTCAGTTTTGGTGCTTAAGTTTTTTAGTCCACTTTATTTTGCCTGTGGAATTTGTTGGTATACAACTGTGCATTTATGCAAAATATATACAATATACAAAAATTGTGTATATTTTCAGTAATTTGAGTCTTCTCTACATTTTTCTCTGCCATTACAGCTAAAGGTTTGAGAATTTAGTTGATTTTACAAAGAAACAACTTTTGTTTTGATTATTGTTTTTATAGTCTCTATTTCATTTATTGCTACTTCTATTTCTATCTTCTCTTTTAGTGTAAGCATGTACAGCTCAACATTTCCCCTGAAGAATATTTGCTGCATCTCATTAGTTTTGATGTTTTCATCTCAAAGAATCTTCTAATCTATCCTGTGATTATTGCTTTGACCCATTTTAAAGAAGATTTTGTTTAATTTCTACATAAATATGGATTTTATAGGTTTCTTTCTGGTATTGATTTCTCATTTCATTCTACTCAGAGAAGACATGTTGTATGATTTTTATCCTTTTAGTTTTGTGGAGATTTGTTTGGGGCCTAACGCTTTCTATATTATGAATAATGTGCATATTATAAGAATATGTCTTCTGTTGTTGGATGGAATGTATTCTGTAAGTTTGTTAGGTCTAGATGGCTCTAGCGTTGTTCATGTCTATTCCTTTGTTGACCCCTGTTTAGTTGTTATTTCCAGTATTAAGAGGGAGTATTGAATTCTCAAACATCTCCAATTCTGTTACCTACATTTCATGTGTTTTGAGGTTCTATTGCTATGTGTTTATACATTTATAATTTCTATGACTTCTTGATAGATTGACACTTTTTCTAAATATGTCAAGTCTTCTTTGTCTCTTGTAACAGCTTTTGACTTAAAATCTATTATTTATAATAGAGTAGAGCCAGCTCTGTTTTGTTTTGGTAACAATTTGCGTGAAATATTTCTGCACCCTTTCACTTTCAAGTGAATCTGTTACAGACAGTACACAGTTATACCATGTAGTTGTATCCGTTCTTACACTCTCCTTTTACTTAGAGTTTAATCCATTTTTTATTATTTATATCTTTCTATTCCTCAAAGACCTCATAACTGCCTTATTTTGTGATTAGCTGATTATTTTCTAGTGTGTGTGTTTTAAATTTCTGTGTTTTTCTATAAAAAAACTTTAGAATCTTTTCTATTGATTGCACTGGGAATCACAATTAACATCTCAACAATAAAATTAAAGTCAGTGTAGATTCAATAGTATAAAGAACTCTCCTCTTTAGCATTTTTGCCCTACTCATTATGTTGTCATTTTCACAAATGTACAATTTATATATTGTGTGCCTTTAACACATATTTATGAATATTATCCATTTACTTTTAGTCACATAAAGAAAACAGAAATTAAATTATACTGAGTATTAAATTTACTTTTGAAGTTATTATTCTTTATTTTTTCATATATATTTGAGTTACTATTCAATGTACATTCATTTCAACTTGAAAGACTGCCTTTAGGATTTTTTATAGGCAGAGCTATTGGACACAAACCCTCTTAAATTTTTCTTTATCTGGAAATGTCTTAACTTTTGCCTTTTTTATGCTTGTTTGTTTGTTTGTTTATTCTACTTCAAAGGCAGAGCAATAAAGAGAGAGAGTTTTTAAGTATTCTCTTTCCCCTCACTCCTGGTCTATGCTTGAAAATGTCCCTCAGAATTATTAGGCACTGGTCAGCTTCTTCATTCTCTTGTCCACTTCTAAGACTTCTCCACTGACTCATCGTCAAGTTCACTGAACCTTGTTTCTGCCCAAATCTGCTGTCATACTCCTCTAGTGAATTTTTTTTTTTTTTTTTTTTTTTGACAGGCGGAGTGGACAGTGAGAGAGAGAGACAGAGAGAAAGGTCTTCCTTTGCCGTTGGTTCACCCTCCAATGGCTGCCACGGTCGGCGCACTGTGGCCAGCACACTGCCCCGATCTGAAGCCAGATGCCAGGTGCTTCTCCTGGTCTCCCATGGGGTGCAGGGCCCAAGCACCTGGGCCATCCTCCACTGCACTCCCTGACCACAGGAGAGAGCTGGCCTGGAAGAGGGGCAACCAGGACAGAATCCTGCGCCCCGACTGGGACTAGAACCTAGTGTGCCGGCGCCACAAGGCAGAGGATTAGCCTAGTAAGCTGCGGCGCCGACCCTCTAGTGAACTTTTAAAATTTTTAAAGTTTATTAGGGCCAGCGCCGCAGCTCACTAGGCTAATCCTCCACCTAGCAGCGCCGGCACACCGGGTTCTAGTCCCGGTCGGGGTGCCAGATTCTGTCCCCAGGAAGACCTTTCTCTCTGTCTCTCTCTGTCCATTCTGCCTGTCAAAAAAAATTTTTTTTCAGTTTTTTAAATTTTTTTAAATCAAGATTTTGGTTAATGTTTTTGACTTCTCTCTTTATTGCTATTCTGTATGTGTTGAGACATCATTCTCCTGGTTTATTTACTTCTTTTTTTCAGAATTTCCCTTGTCTTTCTGAGAATATTTAAAACAGCTGGTTTAAAGACTGACTTTTGTAAGTCCACATTTCAGACTTCCTCAGAAAGTTTTTATTGTTGCTTTTTCTTACTATGAGTGGGACTAATTTTAGTGCTTTTAAGATTTATTTATTTATTTGAAAAGCAGAGTTACAGAGAGGCAGAGGCAGAGGCAGAGAGAAAGAGGTCTTCCATCTGCTGGTTCCCTCCCCAGATGGCCTCAACAGCCAGAGATATGCCAATCTGAAGCCAGGTGCCTTGAGCTTCTTCCAGGTCTCCCATGTGGGATCAGGGGCCCTAGGACTTGGACCATCTTCTACTACTTTCCCAGGCCATAGCAGAGAGCTGGATAGGAAGTGGGAGAGCTGGGAATTGAACTGGTGTCCACGTGGGTGCTGGCACTGTGGGCAGTTGCTTCACCTGCTACTCCCAGTCCTTTATTCTTAATATGTCTAATAATTTTTGAGAAAACTAGGTGTGTTTTATACATTCATGTAAAGAGCGTTTCTTGCCCCTCTTTGTTGTGAGTTGTTTTTTGTTTAGTGACTCTTCTGAACACATTCTGTAATCTGTATATTCTCCATCATTTTTGGACATTGAAATCATTTTCCTTAGCATACGGGGGAGCCAGTGTTTTCTCTGAGTTAATATCACTGTCTGCAGCCAAAAGAAAGGAAAAAAACTAAAGTTCTCTGAATCTTAGCAGATTGGCTCTGTCTTGGATCATTCCTTCAATGATTATCCAGGCTGTTTATGACCATTCCTCTGCCTTGAGTTCTTGCCTGTGCAGATCCTAGCTGTCAACCAGAAGTACAAGACACAGGTCTTCTCAGGTGTTTTCTGGGCACATGGCTGGGCCTCATCACGCCTGTATCCTTCTGGAGTCTCCAGTACATTCAGAGCACTGAAAAACTCTATTCCTTCATTCTCGTTTCCCAACATTTTTTTTCTGTGCATTTTAGTCCCTCTACTGCTTGTCCTGGTTATATCCATTGCTCCAGATAACTGTGGCAAGCGTACAACTTTCAATGCTGCACCACACACTGCCTGGAAATTTCCTCAGCTCTGTGATTCTCTCAAGGGAAACACACACAGCCCTTCTTGCTGGTCCTTCAGGGTGCAGTCAAACAGGTCAAAATATTCAAACCAATTCTTTGTGTTTGCTGCTCCTAACAATGTACACCCTAAGTGAAGTATGCTCTCTTCCAAGCTACCATCAATCTGGAGGTTGGGGGATAGAGAGGAGACAATTTAAAATGCTATGGCGCTTTCTTAAAGCAGTACAGCAACATCAGTGTTTATTACATTTTTCCCTTAGTTGCTCTAAATTTACTTGGTTATAACTGTTTTTTTTTTATTAGGTTTAGATTTGTTTTATAGAGGGAACTGTTTTATATAAATGGAGCCTTGGAGAGCCCTATCCCACCATTTTCAGTGATGTCTTGATGCTTATTTTTTTAAATATATATTTAAATATTTAATATAAAGAATCTTGCTTTAATTTCCTATTCCTTTTGAAGTAACATTGGTCTACAGCAGATTATCAAAAATTTAACAAAAGGAACAATAAAGAAGCAGGAAAGGTTCTTACCATTCTTCAAAGGAAGTTTCAAACTGTCAAAATAAAAAAAATCAATGAAAATCCAATTTTAAACATCTCCAAAAACAGTTGGTGAACTTTACCTAAACTTGAACACACTGATAAAATTGTCAATTCTCTACTTCACATCCACTATCATATTTTTGTCAAGCTTTACTCTCTGTTACTTCTTGAACAGGTATACGTGTCTCCTATCCTTTCATTATTACTCCCACCAAATGGTTTTCTCCTTTCTTACATTTCCAAATCTTACCCTTTTATCAAGCACTTGTGCAAATTCCCCCTAAACTCAAAAGACTTTAAAAACAACCATAAACTCATGAAATCTATTGAAAACTAATGGACTAGCAAAGAATGGTAAAAACTGCACAAAAGTTTAAGTTTATGCCACTGCTGGGCCACAAATTCCTTGGAAAAAGCCAGGTTCTACAGATATATCCTAATAATATATTGGTCTGGAACAGGAATAAATTACCAAAAACACAAATGATTATATATTAGCAGATGATTAAGGATTTTATAGATTATCCTCCATGCAATATGTTATATTTAGCACACATGATTACTTTTCTTCAGTTTTCAAAGACTACCAAAACCTGGAGATATATGCAAACTTTACACATGTGCACACAAAATCATGGAAAACATAAAATAATAAAATTATTGGAACATTCATTTTAGAAAATTTTTCAGAAGCAGGAAGTGATTAGATTGACTGATAAGGAAAAAAGAACGAAAATTTGGAACTCAAAACAGACAAATGGAAACCACTTCAGGATAGGTAAAAGGCTTCTCTATAAATTAGTGAGGAATTCCCAGCATGTGAGAATAAGCATTGGCCAGCCAGTCTTACTGCTTTCCATTCCCAGAATCCTGAATATGGCTGAAAATTGTTCCCTAGATTACTGTAATGTAAATTTAAAATATGTTATCTCAAAAACTGAGAGTGAGCAAGAGAGAGAGAGAGAGAGAGAGAGAGCCAGCCAGAGCGAAAAGGAGAAGGAAGAAGGGTGGCAGTCCAGAAGGAGAGAGAAGAAGGGAGTGAGGAAGGGAATATCATCATGTGCTTAGAATGGTATCTACAAATCACATTGAATCTGTTGAAAACTAATTAAAAATAAAACTTAAAGAAAAGAAAACAGCTCTTCTAACCATATTGGTGTTCCATTTAAGATGGAAAGGCTGTCCAAGCTGGGAAATTATGCTTCTAGAGAGAAAAATATAGTAAAACCTAGGTAACTAGTAGAATCTCATAATAGACACAATGAGGTGGATCCAAAGACAGATTCATCCAGGACTGAGATATTTTAAAGTGGTACAAAATCAAATGTAAACTTGTTTAGGCAAAAGTAGAGGCCCATCTCTTTCTTACCGGAACATATTACCTTCCACTTAGAGAGTCCCTATAAACGTCCCTAGTTATTAGATACAAGCCTTTGCTGTAAGCAGACTCGGAGAGATACAAGAAACAAACAAACAAACTTTGTTAACAACGAGTGATTAGTCAGTTCCATCACTTACAAAGTACAGCAAAGAATGCAAAAAATGTGAGGAAATAGTATAGCCTGAAAAATAAGAACATTTACTTTGGATATAACAAAACCTGGAAAGGCTGAAAGGGAATATAATAATAATTTGAAGGCATATGTCTTTTGCCACCATATTAACAGGCAGAAAAATGAGATTTGATTCACGAATTCCATTATCTAAACATGAGATAGTTTAAAGCAATTAAGGTATCCATAAGTTATGCTTCAACAGAACAGCAAACCAGGAAACAGCCTACCTATGAGAATTTACTATAAAATTAACATTCCAAATCAATGGAGATGGACAACTCAAAGAGCAGTTGTGAGATGATCTGAATAATCATTTGGAAAAAACAAAGTACTGTTTGTACATCATGCCATAAACAAATGAAACTGAAGAGATTTAAAGTTGTAAATGTGATATCTAAAAACTTTTAGAATAATAAAGTATTTTAATAATCTTAGTATCAGTGAAATATTTTTGAACAATACAAAAATAATAGAACTTTTAAGATAACAGACTTGGTTACATACAAATTACTGTATGAAAAATAACTATTAATAAGGTAAATAACTAGTATAATCAATAGAAATTTCTGGTTAGCATAGAAGTGAAGAAATTGCTATCAATGTTTCCATAAATGTCAGAAACAAGATAAAAATTGGAAAATATATGAACTAAAATTAACGGAAAAGTAAATTCAGAAAGCCAGATAGCATAAGAAAAGAAACTATATATACTAAATGATTTGTGTATTTGAACATATATATGGACATAGGGGTATATATGTGTATGTATACATATATATCACACACAATTATATATACATAGATTATGTGTGTGTGTGAACCAGTATTTTAACATTACAGTTTTAAGCAATTTGCTCATCTTCCCCAATACCTCCTTCTTGATCTCCTCTAAACAGGGTTTAGTGTTCACTATTTTGCTGGAATGTTCTAATGTTAATAATAGAATAAATAGGATGTAATTAAAAATAAAAGTTCTGAAAGAAACTAAATCTATCTTCATAACAAAAATGTTGAATGCTATTCTGTTTGTAATCCCAATGAGTATTTTCAAAACAATGTAATAAACTTATTCTAAAACTTAGGAAAGTACAATGGATCCATAAAACACAAGGCATTTGAAAAAAGGAATAAAGAATGAACCGGCTTATCAGATATAGAAACATGATATGACATACACAATGTAGTAAAATGACATATTGAAATATGGAAATAAAATTGAATAGTGGGATAAAGGTGCCAAAAGTAAATAAAATCATATATGAAAACTTGTATACGATACATATTTATAGCTGATTTCTAAAGAAAATGACTGGATTTGAAATAAAATTTATGTTGAGAAAAATAATTTTCCATATTAAAAAATAAATTTACTTATTAAATTCCAAAAAATTGCAATTGTTAAGTAATTAAATTTTAAATATAAATTTCTAAAATTGAGAAAGTACAAAGAAAAAATATTATGTCCTTGCAGTATGAGAAGATGGCTTACCCAAGACACAAAATACTTTCAAAATAAGGGGAAAAATGATGGCTGGCGCTGTGGCACAGCAGTTTAACACCCTGTCCTGAAGCACTGGCATCCCATATGGGTGCCAGTTCTAGTCCTGGCTGCTCCTCTTCTGATCCAGCTCTCTGTTATGGCCTGGGAAAGCAGTAAAAGATGGCCCAAGTCCTTTGGCCCTGCTCCCGCATGGGAGACCCAGAAGAAGCTCCTGGCTTCAGATCGGCACAGCTCCAGCCATTGTGGCCAATTGGGAGTGAACCATCAGATGGAAGACCTCTTTCTCTCTCTCTCTCTCCCTTCTTCCCTCTCTCCCTCTCTCTGCCTCTCTTCTCTATGTGTAACTCTGACTTTCAAATAAATAAATAAATCTTAAAAAAAGGGGGGGGGGACTTAAATTAGTCCACTCAATGAAGAACATTTTAGTAACATATTCAATCCCATCAATGCCATCTCACTAGTCAAAGTGATCAGTTTCAGTTCACAAGTGATCATATGATAGGATTAAGAGTCAAAGGGATCACGTAAACAAGACTAGTGTCTGCTAACACTAACTGAAGAGAATGATCCAACACGGGAAGCAGGATAAACATCAGACTCATAGAATGGCAGATGTCCTAAACAGCACTCTGGCCTCAGAATCAGCCCTTAAGGCATTTGGATCTGGCTGAAGAGCCTATGAGAGTATTTTAGGCATGGAAAGCTAAGTCACTCTGGGAAAAAAAAAAAAAAAAACTAAATGAAAGATCTCTGTGAGATCCCAGTGGAGAGAACAGGCCATCAAAGAAGGAGGTACCTTTCTCTGAAGGGAGGAGAGAACTTCCACTTTGACTGTGACCTTGTCTAAATAACACTGGAGTTGGCTAACTCAAAAGGCTTTCATAGCCTTGGCAACTCATGACAAGAGTCTAGGGTGATGGATGGCACCACAGCTCACTAGGTTAATCCTCCGCCTGCAGCACTGGCACCCTGGGGTTATAGTCCCAGCTGGGGCACTGGATTCTGTCCCAGTTGCCCCTCTTCCAGTCCAGCTCTCTGCTGTGGCCTGGGAAGGCAGTGGTGGATGGCCTAAGTCCTTGGGCCCTGCACCCGCATGGGAGACCAGGAAGAAGCACCCGGCTTCTGGCTTCGGATTGGCGCAGCATGCCAGCTGCAACGCACCAGCCATAGCAGCCACTTGGGGGGTGAACCAATGGAAAAAGGAAGAGCTTTCTCTCTGTCTCTCTCTCTCTCTCTCACTCTCTAACTCTGCCTGTCAAAATAAATAAATTAATTAATTAATTAATAAAGAAAAAAGAGTCTAAGGTGATTACTGATGCCATAAATAAGAGTGTCAATTGTTAAGTAAACAACAGGAGTCACTGTGCACTTACTCTCCATGTAGGATCTCTGTCTTTAATGCGTTGTACAATGTGAATTAATGCTAGAACTAGTACTGAAACAGTACTTTACACTTTGTGTTTCTGTGTGGGTGCAAACTGTTGAAATCTTTACTCAATATATACTAAATCGATCTTCTGTATATAAAGGTAATTGAAAATGAATCTTGATGTGAATGGAATGGGAGAGGGAGAAGATGGGAGGGTTGCGGGTGGAAGGGAAGTTACAGGGGGGAAAAAGCAACTGTAATCCAAAAGCTTGACTTTGGAAATTTATATTTATTAAATAAAAGTTACAAAAAATAAAAAGACAAATCACAAACTGAAATATTTTAAACAAATATACTTGCTAATGGAACTTAATTATTCCCACAAATGAATAAGAAAGTAGAAGTAAACCCAGATGATAATCAGCAAATGATAAACAGGCCTTCACAGAAAAGAGAATATTCAGTGAGCATGTTACTAGATTTTCATCTAATTAATAATCAGGAAATTGTTAGCCTTTGATGTTAGAAAATGGTAATTCAGAATCCTGCATAATATACAAGTTGACATCAGGCTGAATTATATGA